TCCCCATCCCAGCCCCCTAACCCTCACCCTCACCCTCACCCGGTCGCTCTTGGCTGGGGTTCTTGTCGGGGTGGAAGTGCACAGCACCCGGCCTGGTCCCCGGTCCTCTGTCCCCCTGCCCCCCCCCCGGCCTCCCCTCGGCTCCTGTATCCCGCCGCGTCCCCGTGCCCGCACCCGGTCGCCCTCGCTCGGGTTCTTGTCGGGGTGGTAGCGCAGCGCCAGCCTCCGGTAGGCCCTGCGGATCTCGTCGGGCGCCGCGTTCGGCTTCACGCCCAAGACGTCGTAGAACTGCGTCTCCTTCACCATCGCCGCGCTCTCGGAGTCCCGGCCGGCGTCACCGTGGTCACCGTCACCGCCCCGGCGCTGGCTTCTCCCGCCCGCCCGGCTCCTCGCTGTTTTATCGGCGCGGGCGGGCGCAGCGACGGTGGTGGAGACGGTGGCGACGGTGACGACACAGCGACCAGAACCTTCGCGGCTCCGCCCCCGCCCGAGGCCGAGGCCCCGCCCTGTCCTTAGATCGGGGTCGGGGTCGGGGTCTGGGTCCGGGTCCAGGTCCGGTCCCGGTCCAGGTCTCGTGGGCGGGACACCCCCAACCCCCTAGTTTCTACCCAGCCTGTCGGGTGGTGTTGCCCTCTGTGCAGTCACAGGCCCCCAGTGTCCTACTCAGAGGGTTTGGGGGAGAAGCCTGGGGTGACGTTTCCAAGTTTGAGGTGACCTTGATCCTTCCCAATAGTGCAGGGGTCGTGGGGGTCGCAGGTGCAAACAGCGGCGCCTCCCCTGCTCACAACGGGGAGCCCATGAGCCCCCCGAGTTCCCCTCTGCCCCCAGAAGTGGCCCCAGACAGTGTGCCAGCCACCAAGGCAGGACCATGCTGGGAGCTCAGTGTTGCCTCAGGACAGTGACAGGTCCTCCACATGCCCTGCTGGTGCCCAGGAGCCAGGATAAGGAGCCCTGCAGCAGCTGGGTGTGTAAAGTGCAGCCACTATCGGGGAGCTGCAGGCTCGCTTGGCTTCTGCCGGGCTAGTGTGTGGTGAGGGATGAGGTGATACTGCCACCTCCTGAGTAGCCTGGCCAGCTTTGGGGTCCTGAGGCTGAACCAGGCCCCACCCCTACCACGTTCAACAGGAGTGACAAGCCCTTCACGTCCAAGAGCAATGAATGTGGTTTTCCTCTGAATTAGGCCCCTGTAAAGCAATTGTCTTGGGCACATTGTCAGCTGGAGGTCAGGAAGTTCGGTCCCAGACCCAAACAGCATCGACCACAAGAGGTGATCAAATACACGGTGAGGGTTTAGATTCAAGAAACTGATTATAGCAAGAAACATGTCATTGGGCCGGGGACTTTGCTCACTGGCACCACACCTGCCTTGCAAACACAAGGTCATGAGTTCGATCCCCAGTACCAAAAAAAAAACTAATTCTGGGGCCGGGGATTTAGCTCAGTGGTTTTGCCACCTGCTGTGCAAGAGCAAGGACCAGAGTTCAATCCCCGGTACCAAAAAAAGAAACACATCATCATGAATCCTCCTCAAAATACCCTCTCCTTGCTTCAAACACACACCATTCCTGCCACTTTGTGAAGCAGTTCTAGAAGTTATTGTTCATGTCTTTATAAGAGGATCAAAAATACAGTGAATACTGTGCTGAGTGCCACCCAACACAAAGGCAGGCTCATAAAAACATGGCAATGCATCCTCATACACCTTACTCACCAGATCTGGCACTGTGCAACTTCTGGCTCTTCCCCAGAGTCAAAATGAACATGAGGGGCTGGGGATTTAGCTCAGTGGTTCCACCACCTGCCTCTAAAGCACAATGTCCTGAGTTTGATCCCCGGTACCAAAAAAAA